AAAGCGGTAGCAGTGGAGGAAGTGGCAGTCGAGAGAATAGTGGAAGCAGCAGTATTGGCATTCCCATTGCCGTGCCTACACCTTCACCGCCAACCATTGGACCAGGTATGTGGGACTCTTCCCATGTTGACTTCAGGCTGTGATGTCAGTTGCTTGTGTTTGCAGAGGGATTTTGACTGAATACGGTGGGGTAGAAACTGTCCTGAAGCACATTCCTAGTCAGGAGATCTCTTATGAGTGCTGAGTGACATCTAAAGTTTTAGTTCTCTACCAAAAGTACTTGCAGAACAATCACTTGTAGACTAGCAGATGGTTAAAACACCTTTGTCAGTCCATGTTTTTACAAGATAATTAAGGCAGGGAGGGGATAGAAGGATCCTTGAGAGGTGTATCCTTTTAAAGCTTAAGTATGTTTTTAAATGCCTATCTACAATTTGGCATTTCTGGATGCCCTGAGAAGCAGCGACAACTATGTGCATGTTTGATGGGAAATGCTGCCTTCTGAAATAGCCTGCTAACTTTACCATCTGCCAGTGACAGTATGTACGTGTTGGTTTTTTAATTAAGGTCTTTTACTCCAAATAAAACACAAAAGATTACCTATGAAAACACTGCTAGTAGTAGAATTCAGACTTATCCACCAGTGTTGTTTGTGCCATGATTACAGTCTGAAGTTGCTAAGCTATGATGGATATGAGAGAGGCAGGAAAACTAGCGTGGGTGAGATAGTACAGCAGTACAAGAGAACCATGCAGGATCTCTCAGCATCGAAAGCGTGCTCCCTTGTCTTTAAGAACAATGACTGGTGAGAATGTGTAGGACCCTTCTTTATTATAAACCAAAGGGTTTGTTATCTTGGCAATAAACCAGCTCAGTCACTTGTTTACTATCTGTGTATTTTTTAAGCACGTAAAGCTAATTTGCACAAGAAGACAGTGGAGTTCTGGTGTAATGTGATTTTGCTATTGCACCTCTTAAGTTTCTGTTCCTTGGATGACAAATTTTCACTTTTTTTACACACATATAGGCTTTCCTTTCCCAGGTGTTTCTGATCCTGTAGTAGTACAAAGAGGCATGAAATCTTACTATCATCTAGCATCCCATAAAAATCAGTAGGAATAAAGATCTGCAGGTACAGAACCCTGTGTAGGATCAGAGCCTGAGTTTGTATCAGTTGACCCAAGCTGAATTTCTGTGTTTATTTGGGAAGCCTATCAAGTGCCTTATTTGTTTTGGATTCTGTTTTTTTTTGGGGTGATGTTTGTGTGGGGTTTTTGTTGTTGTTGTTGGTTGTTTTTTTGTTTTTGTTTTTTTTAATATATGGCCTAATTGGGAATATAAACTATTTTATTAGCACACATTTCTGTTCCTCCTCCTCCTGGAGCCCCGCCAGCACCACCACTGCCACCACTTCTCCCAATGGGCAGTCTGATAGGTGAGACTTGTGTCAATGCTGAAGTGATTGCAGCTATGCTGCATAATCAATAATCATCTCTTCCTAATGGACCTAGTGAGAGTGTTTTCACTTCTGTAGTGAGATCTACATGATTTTAGTACAAAAATCAGTTCTGGGATTTTTTTTGTTTGTTTGTTTTTAAACAAATCTAATCTCCACTAATTTTGTGTGGTTAAAGCCTCTGAAGGTAAATGCACAAGGTACAGGGAAAAGGCTTCCAGTTGCTTGAAATCTGTTTCCGACAAGGCTAAGATCCAATGAGTCTGATTTATAAGAACTCAAAATCAGCTTGGATATTGGTATTCTGCTGTATCACTTCTGCAGCTGAAACTAAGCCACAGCAGTTGCACTCTGGCTTAAAAATGGTGGCTTATGAGTAGTGTGATGTATGTATTCTATCTTGTGGGCATAAGGTGACTGGAAAGCAGTTGCGTCAGTCACAGTGGCTTGGGTTTGATTCTGTAATGCTGCAGGCAGGTGGCAAACTGGAAGACTTGAGGATATGAATTGCTTCAAGCATTGCATGTAGCTGTTAGGATGCAATCTAAAAGTAGTGCTTTTCAAAACAGGCAGGGAAAAATACCCTACCCTTTCTCATCACAGGCTGATTGACAAAATTAATAGATTGTATTATGAAACTAGCTTTGGAGGCTTTGACCCACATAACCCTTTGGACTTTCCCTTACTGAAGTGTTAAGCAAAAGTGACTTTGGATAACATTACAGGACTGCAAACTTTGTGGTGTGTGCACACAGTTTTTTTATATATCTCTATATATTTATGTAAGATATACACATATGTATGTAAAGGCACAAACCATTGTATTGTAAAACAATTTTTACATTTCAAATTTACATTGATCCATGTGACCTCAGTGTGTGAGAATCGTTAGTTTGCAAGGTGATTCTTTTCTCTGTCAGAGGTTAATCCAAAAGAGAACTTGAATTATTAATCTTGAAGTTTGTGCAGCAAGCATGTGGAAGGTAAAAATGGGTGTTTATTCTGAAGAATGATTGGCATGTCTTTCTGTCAGCTGGCATTGGTGATTCTGATTTGTTAGTGCAAATTCCATCAATATAAAAGCACAACTAGCAAATACGATCGATAAATGTGCCAAGTGTCTGAAGCTCATGACATTTGCTTTACTGTTTTGTTAGAGTGTCTTTTTATATTAGATTGGAGACAAGTTCTGGTTCATAATGGAAAACATTTGCTTTGAGCAGAATGTGGAATTTTTTTTCTGTGTGCTTTTTAATAAAGGATATTGCATGTAGAGTAATTGAGATATGCTTGGGAGCTGGAAGCTAAGTCAATATTCCAGTCCAATCCAGTCTCTCAAAGTAGTTCTCAACATTTCTCAAATGCCCTTCGTATGAATGTTGGTTTATGTCCTGTGTGTTTTTTCTCATTGATTATAACAAGGATGTTTGTTTTCTGTTAATCTCCTGTTACTGGCCTTAAATTATTGGAGACCTTTAATCAAGTATTTCACATGTTCTGGGCTTTTTTCTGTTTTCTGCATTCTATCCCAAGTAATGCTCTGCTTAAGTCTTTTCCTTGGTTCCTCTGGCTAATGCTTTTCAGCTGCTCCGGGTTCAGCTCCTGGTTCCCAGTATGGCACAATGACCAGGCAAATCTCACGACACAACTCTACCACTTCTTCAGCATCTTCTGGTGGATACAGACGGAATCCTTCTGTGACTGCCCCATTTTCTGCTCAACCTCATGTTAATGGCGGGCCTCTTTATTCTCAAAATTCAAGTAAGCTTCTGAGCTCTGAAATCACAAACTGTTTTGAGCAAAATGATTGTAAAAGCATGCATGGCATTTTAATTCATTTATGAAGAGCATCACTCAGATTACTGCTTTCTTTCCTAAAATAGAATGAAAAACAAACAAGGAAAAACCATATTGAAGTTGTACAGTGATTGCACTATATGCAATTATACTGTTTTCCCCTCTGACTTGTTTGCTGTTACTCATGACAAGAAATTATTATGATTGACTACCTAATTATAGGCACATTAGCATTTCAGGTGTGCTTGCAGAACATAAACTAAAACCAGATTTTTTTTTGCAGGAGAGACCTAATATGGTTGTAGTACAGTCCTTCCACTGCTGGGCTAGTGGCAAGAGAGTACTGTCAGAGCACAGTGCTCATGTAACAAACTTTTCCCATCACACAGTTCCTCCCTGTCTCTTGTCTTTTTCCCAATTCCTTTCCTGATCCCAAATTTCTCCTTTGTTTTTACTTTTAAGCTTGACTGCTAAAGAATTGCTCAGTCTCTCTTTTTAGCAGATTCCTCCTCTGGGCTTCCAGACTAGTAGTAGTATAGATGGAGATGAATGAGGGAAGGGATGGATGCCGTGGGCAAGTGGGCAGGTTTTAGTCAGCAGCATCCTGCCTACCTACCCAATAGGGCAAATGAGGTTCACTGCAGAAAGGTCTGCAAAATAAGGATGTACTTGAATGTTGGTATAAAGCTGTTAATGTCAGGAAACTTGTTCCCTACTGTTTCTATAAATTTTGACCAAATACACATAGGGGAGTGATAGTTCTCTAATGGTTTCTGGTGGTGTTCTTCAGCAAGCCAGCTCTTTAAATTTCAGTGATAGTTCTTTTAAAAAGAAATGCTGGGTATTTGGTCTGAAGATCACTTTGGAACAGTGTTTGCTGTTGTGTACTTCCTCTTAAGGAAAGAATGCGTGTAGAATATTTGAGACACTGGGGTGAAGAGTTTTCTCAGTGGTTTAGAAGTATTATGTTTATCAGAAAGCATTTTTGTATGCAGACAGAGTACCTATCTTTTTTTTTTTTATTATTATTCTCCAGTCCTGATTTTCTTCCCCCTCTCTCTCATCCATACTGGCCCTTCACTTTCCTCCACACTCTGGTTCCCCCAAATTAATTTACCATAACAACAGAAACTTCTTCTTGTTGGAACAGTTGTGTTCCCTTGAATAAACAGGGCTTTATTTCTGGAAATAGTTCAGTTGCCTTAAATGCTGTGCACACCAATGTTTGAACATTTACATTTATCCAAAGCAATTTTTTGCTCAAATGCAGGTGCTGTTCCTTAATCTAGCCTCTCTGGTGTTTTCAAAATACTGATTGTCAGCATTTTTTAAACAGTATTTTGATGGGTGTGTTTTTCTACTTTAAACTGTTTTCCTCTGTTTCTATAACTGGTGGGTTGTTTTTTTATTTTTTAATGCTACTGTCTTGACATTAAATCCTAAGTCCCATGTTCCCTTAAGGTTTTACCTTTCATGCTAACCAACACTCTTGTTTTTTCTTAGATGTTTACTTCAATTTTGTGAGAAACCTATTTGTTCTCCCTCTTTTATTGATCATTTCTCCCATACAGTTTATTTGGTTATTGGTTTTGTAATAAACTAAATGCTCCATTTTTATTCATCAAACATTAATCTTAGTTATGGCTTTATTTAAAACTGTTGCTTACTTGGAAGTATAGAACCTCTTTCAAATTTGGTTCCAACTGGATTACCCTGCTGAATTCCTACCTTCACAGGAACTTCTCTGCTTCGATGCAAGAGAAATTCCACGGAGAAGGGGAACTGTATAAAATGAGTTGATGTTTTGTTGGTTTTCTTTCTTCTCTCCTCCACCTTCATGGAGAGGTGTCCTGCCAGAGCTGATATTTTGAATGGCATGCCCTACTGCTACTATGCCCCTTCCCTACCTGTAGAGGGAAGAGATGAACATCTCAGCTGTCAGCCCAGCGTCTCTGAGCATTGGTGCTGCGTGTCTCGTATCTCATTACTCACCAAATAGGTATATCCTTCAGAGAAGACAAGCTTGCAAGTGCTTCCTGGGAAGCTCTGTGCACTAGTGTAGCCAGTGGTAGCTGTTGAAGCCCTTGCCAGTCTCTTAGGTTGCTGAATGCCTCTAACCACAGAAGACTTAATAATTTAAAATAAAGCTCCATTCTGCTCTAAACCCATCTGGTTTTCTTACCAGCAAGCAACAAGGTCCCCTTTTCTGTGTAAAACAAAAACATACAAAGCCAACCCACTGCTCCAGCAGAACAAAATTATGGGAGGTGCTCTCTGTATGAACATTAATTGATGTTGCAGCATTGTTTCCCTTGTAAAGTAGTTGTCTTTGCTCTGTGTCAGTGCTGCTCTGCTGCACTTGATGTAGTGCTCTACTCTTATTTTAAAGGAGGTCGGAATCCTGTGAAACATCACGAGTAGCATGCTTCTGAAAGATAACTACTGAATTTGAGTAATCCTTATTTGGCAGCAAGACAAAAAGCTCATTTTTTTTGTGTGCACCCCAAGTGAAGTGGAGCAAGTCCTTTCACACGTGCACCCAGTGAGCTTCCTGACAGACAGCCTGCACTTGTTTTTTTGATCAGCTAAACACACGGGCATGCTTTGCTTTTTGATCCTCAATTGGCTAACCACGAATTCAGCCTTGTTGGAAACACAAGCTTGAAGAAGGTTCTTCTGTGTGTGTGTTCTTGTTGTTCTTTACATACTTTGTTTTGTGGTCCACGTTACTGATGGCTGCTTTTGTTTGTTTCCTTTTTTTTTTTTCCTTTGTCCGTTTGACTTTCCCCAATATGGTGTGTGTGTTGCTACCAGTTTCTATCGCTCCACCCCCTCCCCCTATGCCTCAGTTGACTCCACAGATCCCTCTCACAGGCTTCGTGGCCAGGGTGCAGGAAAACAGTAAGTTTGGACAAGCTGAGCTGTTAAAGGGTAGAGACTACTTTCTTCTAGCATGCATGGCTGGCAAGTCAGACTCTATTTTGTTTCCTTTTCCAGAAGCTAATACCATCTTGCATTCTAGTGTCAATACGCTATTGGAGCTGAAGGGCACACTCTTCAATATTTTGTAACATGTGCATGATTGTTACTGACCCATTTAAGTTCTGAACTGCAAATTTATTACAGAAATACAGTCTGAAATATGTGGCATCTGCTTGGTGTGAATATAGAAGTGTATCTTAATTAAAAATATTAATTACATGTTGAATCATCCTAAGGCTTTTTCACTAGGGATAATTGATTAGTTTTTGTTAGAAAAGCTTATGTAGACTGTCAAAATATGTACTGTGTAACCATTGACTCTCATACTGTAATAGTTTTCAGGAAGCGGTACAGTCAATTGAAAATATGTAGTCTTATGATCTAATGGCATTACAAAGGAGCTTGTAAGGTATTTCTCCTCTTGACAGCCTTTCATTCTCCATTTCTTTATGTTCTCTAGCCAGATTTCCCTACTGAGCTTGCAGCGTAGCTCTGCTTGTTAGGTTTGTGAGGGATATGCTCCCTGGCTATGATCTGTGCTGCAAGGTGGTTTGTACTGGTAACTCTGCTCTTACCATTACTGCTTGATTCATTTCAGGTGAGTGTTACTGTCCCAAATGCTAGTGGAGGTGTAAAGTTGTGTTCCTTTGGGGACATCTTTGCTGTAGGAGTACATTGCAGTTCTATATATAGAATGAATGCAATGTGGATAGGGCGTGAAGTAAGTATAAAAAGTTTTTAAAGTGTTTGGGAGCCACAGCAAAGTTTGCTAGGATCTCAGGGGCTACTACTACATAGTAGCTATATAGTCCCAGCATACATTTAGGGGCCCCCAGATCTGACTAGTGCTGCTGTTCATCTTCCCATTAGAGCTTTTAAGTGGTCATGTTCTGAGCATTCCCCTAGAGACAGGAGGCATCTCTGGTTCTCATTTGAAAATAAGATATTTTAGTCTTGTGTGAGGTATATAGTAAGAATCATGTTGCTGTAGAATAGTACGCCACACAACCATGTTGACAAACCTTTCCAAAATTCAAAGTGTAGAGGTAAACCTACCCTGATGAAGGTTACAGAATGTCTTCACTTGCAGATAAACTTGAGAAAATTGACACCTGCTTCTGGCTTGTTCCAAGTATTGTCGTCCTGGAGATAACACAGCCCTTGGGAGAGCAGAGGTGAAAGGGACAGACTTATTTGTGCGTGCAGCAACAAAATGCAAGCTGACTTGTGAATGAGATTGCAGCAAAAATAGCTGAAGCTTGAAATCTGGTCTTAGGAATTGTTCTTTTTATTTTCTTTTTTTTAACAGTCCATTGGGTTTGAAAGTTATTAATGAGTATGGCTTTGAGCTGCTGCTGCCTCATTTCGGAGGCAGGGGTGCGTGCGGCAGTCTGCGCATATGCTCAGCGGAACTGGCTCTAGAGGCTGTTGTTGGGGTTTGGCATTGTGTGCTAGACTTTCATCTGCCTCATTTTCTGCAAGAAGTCTACAGGGAGTGGAGTTAGGGAGACAGGTGGGTAGGCTTGTCTTTTCCTTATCATAAGGATCTGTGGGTTTGGAAAGCAACATCCTCTGCTCTTTGGACTTCTTTCAGAGAACAAGGACAGAGGAAACTATGCAGCGCCTGTTCTTTTTTCCTGCGCCCTGTGCCCAGACTGTGGGTATCTGTTCCAGAGAGGTTTTCCAGTGTGTCCAGTGCCCGGGGACAACTGATTGGATGCAAATTGCTGTACTGTCACACCCAGTCCTTTCAAAACGGGTCTGCTGGTGCCCGTTTAAAGAGCAGGAATATAGATACAGGAGAAGATGTCTCAGTTTGGAGCTGTAAAAAAACCTGGTCCTTTTACTCTTTCTCATTTAGTGTGGTTTTCTGTATGCTTTTTTTTCCTCCCCTAGGAAAAGGAATGGTATTCTAGAGTCTTCCTGTTTTACGTTCTGAACCAGGAATAGTCTAGGTTAAAACCAAGAGGTGGGGGGATACTTCCATGATGGGGTGGCACTTGTCTAATTTTCTGTTCCATTCTCTCCCCTTGTTTGAATGTTGAATTGTTTTAAATGTTTCCCATAAAGCATGCAGGTTTCTTCACTGCATCTCAGTTAGGGTATGTGGTGGTGCTTTCACACTTGCATTTCCTGCCCTCTTTTCCTCTTTTCAAATAAGCAACTTCATTGTTGAATAAATACAACTTTTTGCATTTCTTAAGGTAAGGATTTCTCCAGATCTCAAAGGATTGTTGTTTCAGTACTGTTTGGTTGTTTTTTTTTCCTGGCTGCAGACAGAAATTAAGGGGAGAAATACATTTTGTCAAAGATGTGCTGAAACTACTGCACAAAACCAGTCCATTCATAAACAGTGTTATCCTGTGTCTGTGGTGGATTAATGAAGCCTGCGAGTGCTATTCAGTGACACAGGCAAGACGTAGCGTTCACTCGGCCAAAGACTTTGTTAGTCTGTCTCCAAGTGACATAAATGGGCTTCTGTGTGGGAGAGGAATCACTAATATAGTGACAGCCAGTCTTACTGATGGAGGGAGCTGTGGAATATAGGGCTCAGCTGGTCAAGTTGAAGAGGAGCTGGGCTGGCAGGTGAAGTACAGCATTAGCTCTTCAAGGGGTAGAGAGCAGGCTGGGTGCCAGGGCTGAGGCAGCCTCTGCCCCAGCAGCTCCTGCTGGATTCTGCCCCCTTGCAGCAGGAGATTTGGCTTCCCCTGTTACCAGTGCAGCCAGGCTGACCCAGGACATGGGAGCTGTGCTCAAGCCCCTTGTCAGGGGCATGTGGCTGAAGAGCAAAGGTTAGTCACCACTGGAGTAGTGGTCAGGTTAAAGAGCATTAAAGCAAACAGAAACTATTTCTAATCTCCAGTGCCATTGTAACTAGCTGTAGCTAAAGCTTCACTCAGTACTGTTCTTTCCTTCCCCTGCAGCTTGGCTTTCTTCTCAAAATTAGTGTAGGCTGCTGGAGCTACATGTTCTGGAGCACATAACCAGCCTGATGGCTCCTTCCAGTCAGACCCTTTCTAGAGCAGTGGTTTTCAGCCTGTTTTTTCAATGTGCAGACTCTCAAGTCTCTTGTAATTAAATCTGTGTTGCTGTGTAACACAGTTGAGTTTAGTGACAGTAGCTTCCTTTCAGTTAACTTCTGGCTTGTTGGTGCTTACCCCTATGTCCATGGGTAGTAGACCACAGTTCCCAAGGAACAGGATTAAGTGACTTGATGTCTTGCATCTGAGCGTGCTCTCTCTCCCTTGCTGACAACTGCTGCAAACATTACTGAAAACTAATTTGGTGAACTGATTTTAAGAGTGATTTGTACCATAATGCCTTTCTTTTTTTCCCTTTCCCAAAGCAACTTGTAATTGTGCCGATTGGAGAATCTCAGGGCAGGGATTTGACATTTTGGATTATACACTTAATTCCTTGAGCACTTTTTTCCCCAAGAGCAGCAGCTGCCTATTGTAGTTTTTTATTTATTAATTGAATCCTGGATGTGTGCACACACACAGGCTAGTCTGCAAGATAAGGATCTGTACAAAGCTTTCTTCTGCAGAGGATTATTGGCTTTCTCTTACCTGGTTAAAGCTTAAAGGCTAGTCTCTTCCCTTTTTTATGATCCACACCAGATCTTTTTGTCCTCTTAATACTAGCTCTGAGAGAGAAAGAATCCAAGGAAGCAATGTTCAGAAATAAATTAAGGTGATGGTTATAGATAAAGGATTTGTTAAAAAATAATCAAGCTGCTGGTCCAGTCCAGAGGCCTGTTGCTGCCTGGCTCAGAGGGTGCCACTCGGAGTCCTCCCATAGCTAACCGCTGCAGCTAGCCCCTCAGCGCATCAGGGCAGGAAGCTTTCCTCTCTGCTGGTGTTCAGCTTATGCCCTGCAGCATGTGCTTTGACTCTAGTAGCACTTATACATAGATCTGACCACTAATAACAAACGTAGTTGTATGTTGTAGCTGTTAATACAAAGCCTCTGTTTCTAATCAGTGCATGGTATTATAGTGCATGCTATGTGTCTTGTCGCCCCACCCCTTTTATTTACAGTGTACAGCCTCAGGTTTGTTTGCATCTCCACACTGTTGTGATTTAAGAAAAAAAAAAATAATCTCCAAACGTTTCTAGTTGCTGATAGCCCGACTCCTCCCCCACCACCGCCTCCTGATGAGATGCCGATGTTTGATGACTCTCCTCCTCCTCCACCCCCACCCCCTGTGGATTATGAGGATGAGGAGGCTGCTGTTGTGCAGTACAGCGATCCCTATGCAGATGGCGATCCTGCTTGGGCACCTAAAAACTATATAGAGAAAGGTAAGAGAAGCGTTGCAGCTCTGTGTTCCTGCAGTATCAGAGGATTAATGGTATCTGAAGGGGATGAAGGACTTAAGCTTGGGTCTGATGAAAACATCGTCTCTGCTAAGTCAGAACTTGAACCATCTTAGTTTGTCTGTGGCTACACCTAATGTGATAAAATATAATCCTTCTTTAGAAGGATTATAAAATACCTTCAAGCATTCTAGAATGGATTAAAAAAAAAAATCCTTCCTTCTGAGAAGCAGATGTACATTGAATGGCTGTCATCTTTGCTGAGCTGGTGGGCTGTGTCTGTAGCTACCTCACGATTGTCAGGCAGTCATCTAGAAATAGTGTTGCAAAGAGGCCAGAAAGTCCCAAGCTTTATTTATCCCACCAAACTATTTATTTAGAGTGGATCATTAGGTTTTCAGCTATAAAATGTAGTGAGGCTACCTTGGAGACTCACCAGTGACTCTAGATCAGCAGACTATGAACTGTGCTTAGATATGAACTCATATAGTAAGTGTCTCTTCCCATGAATAACTGAGATGACTTCCTGCCCGTAGGGTTGTCTGTGTTCTGACAATGACCATTTTGTCAACAGCAGTGTTGCAAGTTTCCTCATGATCTGGCTGGTACTGTAGTGCGTATGAAATGGGGCAGGGTACCTGATACCTGTCTTGGCAGAACTGCCGTGGTTCCACCTTCACTCCTAGCTGGACTGTGTGCAGGACATACCCGTGGGATGAAAATAAGTGATACACCGCATCATTATTTGCTATGCATTAAGACATCAGATTTCTGAGAATATATGTATGTAAAATAGTAGGTTATTGGAATTCATAAAACTGATGAATTGCATAAATCCATGTTAACTGTTTTGAAGGGTGAAGCTGTGATGTCTGTAGTTTGTGTATTCATAGTGGTAGTTTTTAATTCCAGTATTACTGGTGGCGACATTTACTTTCCTTGGGGAGATCTCTGCTTTGTTAATTGCACACGGAGTACCCAAGCACATCCAGAAAAATAGCTGATGTTGCTGTAAATTCACTTCTTTTTTCTACAGTAACTTTTCTACTTGCACTCATTGCAGCTCCTTGGAAAGCAATGCCAAAGCTTATCACATAGAAGCTCTGTAGCAAAGACCACCTGTAGAGTGGCTTTGAGCAGCTATGTTCACAAGATCGTACACTGAAGTACACACTCTATAGCTGCAGGGGCCATAGTAGAAATTTTTTCTGTTGGTCCATTTCTACAGAATGATTTTAAAAATAATTTTAAAAAATTTTTTAGGCTTTATCTAATCAAGAGATCCCTATACAGGGATCTAGATGCTTTTGAGGTAATCTGACCAGAAATGAGTGCCACACTCATGAAGCCACTTATTTCATGGTTTAGCTTTTAAGTGTCCATATGCTCCATTTTACTGTGTCACAGCCAACTGTACCTCTCTGTCAGTAGTTTAACTGAGTGTTCAGTGTAGTCACCACCCACTTCTTACTGATAGCCAACATTAAAAGAAAAGTGAAATTTCATTTTCTGGACTTAATGTTCAACAGGGAACGCATGTGAATTCATTATGGAAAAATCCCAGGATAGCAAACTAGTCTTTAAAAAAATAATTGTACTTCAAAACATGTTATTGCTGGTGCTATTAATAAAATGCTAAACTTGTCCCTGTTCAATCCACAGTTGTTGCTATATATGACTATACAAAGGACAAAGATGATGAGCTGTCGTTTATGGAGGGTGCAATCATTTATGTGATAAAGAAGAATGATGACGGCTGGTATGAAGGAGTTTGCAATCGAGTAACTGGCTTGTTTCCTGGGAATTATGTTGAATCAATCATGCACTATGCCGATTAAAATCCTTTGCTTTTCAAAGTTGGGTCTTGTATTCAGTCATACCATGATTATTTACAAGGGTAACTAAAAGCTAACAGAATTGTCTTAATATACTTAAAAAAATGTGCCCATTTCTTCAGGCCATACTGTTTTAATGGTATGATTGAATGTCCATATCTCTTGAGTCTCTGGGGACAGTATGTCTTACCTGATGGCAATTTGTAAAACAAGCAACTGTCTATAACTGGTTATACTTATTTACTTATGCATTGTTAATTTTATGACCAGCCTAAATATTCTGGGGAAGTAGGGTATAATATTTAATGAACCATGATTCAGATTGTGCCATTACATTTTTCAGTACAGCATGGTAACTAACACTACGTTAGACTAACATATTAAAATCTGGATGAGAAGTTTAATGTTAGTGCTGGTCATATTACTTTTTGTTTAGACTCTTTGCTCATTCTTGAATTATATTTGTTTAAAAGCATGCATACAAACTTATGTATTGAAATATACTTTTTTAAAAATCCAAGATGCTTCCAATTGTTGTAATCTTTACCTGGAGTATTCTCACTAAAAGTCTATTATAATGAGTTGTTTGGGTCTAAGGTGTCCATGTGAATCAAAAAAATGGGTGGTTTTATGTATGTGTAATTTGTACCCAAGTTTTTTTAATGAGTAAATTTACATTATGACTTTTTCCATTCATAAATATATAAGTGAACCAAAGGTCTTGTCCATTACTTTGTTGGTTGGCTTGGCAAAGAAGTTTGGAATGCTAACGTAGCAAAATCATGGCTGTGTTATCCCAGGCAATGTACTAAAAAGCAAATGTTTGTAACGTTGACTCTATCACTGACAGAGGGCAAATAAATTAGATATGAAACCTGAATTACACATTTATACATACTCTTAAAAGTTCTTTTCTTCCTAAATTAATTTTAGCAAGGATTCTTGATTGAATCTAGTTATCTAGATGCAGGAAGTTGGATACTTATCTGTAACTGACATTTCTCAGTGGAAACTGTATCTGGCTTGATGATGTGCCCAGCTGAGCAGAGATGGCAGGCAGGCTGTCCTCAAGGTATGACAAAGGGGGGACAAACACAACAGGAACTCTGCTGCTGTGTTACAGGATCACAGGCAGAGATCGTTAGAGATGATGCACATCCCTATTCTACAAATTCTGTGGCTTAAATAACCTGAAAAGGAATGTGGTAGTACTGGATAATTACTGTAAGAGGAATGTGCCTGGGACTTCAAAGCAGACTGCTAGGAGGGGACTGAATATACTCTGTGAGTGATGGAAGGTGATGGAGTTGAATTCAACTGGCTGTTGAATCATTCATTTTTAGTATGAGTTAGAAATACCCAGCCTTTCATTTTCTGAACTGTAGCCATCTCAAATTCTCCATCTTGTTAACTGCTAGCAAGTAGCAACCAGTAACATACCTGTGTTTCACTATCAATTAGAAAACTTCTCATTTATGTATATAACCAATTAAAGTCTACATATAGTCTTTTATAATAAACCAATTTCCATATATACAATTCCAAGTACTTTTGTAGTTTAACAGCCAGGAAAGCATTCAAGCCATCTCTCTTCACAGGAGTTCACCTGATAGTAACATGCAAGGGCTCTCTGTTTCTTGGTGTGAACAAGTGAAGTTTGGAGCAACTTCAGTTCTCATACACTGATTTATATTTATTCTCATTGTAGCCTTTGTGCATCAATATGTAAACATTTTCCCCACCCCCCACAATTAATAGCCCCCACTAAAACAATGGTACAACACAATTTGATTTGCTCTGAATTGTATGGCTTCCCACAATAAAATACTTTAAACTTGTTTTTTAAAAAAAAGTAGAATTTCAAAAAAAAAAAGTTTTTTAAAAAAATATTTTTTGGTAGCCTGTGGTGGAAGCAAATAACTTTTGAAGTAAATTTAGGCACAGTCTGGTAAGTAGCTGCCAGAATGAGTGGAAGGAGTTCTCTCACTTGTCTCTCACGAGTACCATTTCTGTCAGCTGAATGAGGGCTTCTCTTTCAGGGGATGGCCGTAGCTTACTGATCTCTCTTGTAGCTTCATGGCAGTAGCGCTGGGCGAGGTAGGTTGTCTGCTGCACACCATCACTCTTAGGTAAGGAGAGAGTTAAAGGCAATGGGTAACTGGTCAGCCTCCCTCCTGCCTTCTGTCTCTTGCAGTTACAGGGGGAAGTTTTTAAGGTCAGTAACTACCCTGAACACTTAATTGTATTCTGAAGGGGAAAAGAGGATTCATTCTATATTCACTGAATTCCACATTTTTCCCCAAAGCTTCAGAGTAATAAAACTCATCCATGCTAAACTTAACTATACTTATAAAAGAACAGTGGTGTTAATAACATACTCTTCAGTATTTAATAGTAAATCATACTAATGGTTTAACCCCTCCCCTCCTGTCCTCAACAGAGATGTAGAAAAAAACATGCTATGCTGAAAAAAGAGACATTAATTTTGCAGGCAATTACTCAGTCTTTTCAGAACCAGAGTCAATTAAAACTGATATGGAGTGTGCATTGCAGTTACAAGACTGACTGGTAATTATGTGCTGCTTACACCAGTTGTTGGATACAGCTACTCTTCAGCTGAAGGAACTGAGTTCATGCATGAGCTTTTTACTTTCGTTATGTGGATTTTATGCTATTGGAAGGAAAAAAGAAAAAAAAAAAGCTATTTAGTACTTAGTGTTTCTGCTAAAGCACTGTGCCAGTAAGGCAGCTGAAGAGTTCGGACTTGGTATTGTAAAGAGCATGCTACTTAACATGTATTTGAAAATGCAGCCTTGCCATTTTACTTCAGAGGCAGTGAATTTCAGACTGACTTCAGGAATGAAATATTTGGTATCAGTCCTACCTGCAGCACGTATTTCCGAGCACGTTCAACATCTCCAGGCTTACTGAATCGTCTCATTATCATAGCATTCATTTCTGGAAACTAAGCACAAAGGGAGAAGGGTTTGTACTATTTATGAGTCATTTTCTATGTAGCTGCCTGCCATGCCCATAACTAAAGCGTAGACATCTCCCCCTGCTGCTGCTGTTGCTACCAGTATAGCTATAGGTTAATACTGGCAATCAGCATAGGACTGTAGTATAAGCCCAAGCTTATACTTGTAGTATAGCAAAGCCCAAGCATTTAAAACTCAAATTGGCTGGCTCTGTTGGCTGTAGCCAGTTGGTAGCAAGAGCTGGCACCTGCCATTCCATTGCATTGAGCAGATGATCCAGTGTGGTAATTTCTGATGTGGCTACTTCCAGGTGTAGAATCTGGTTCAGGTATTCTTATATCACAAATGGTGGTTGCTGTTGGCACACCTAGAGGCAGCACCTCTTCCTCACCACATACACGGGAGAACCCAGTAGGTTTGTTATATCCACTTACACTTTCCTTTGCTCTGGGATTTTCTATACACAGGCTCTGCCTGTGGAAAGCTCAGGACAGATATTTTGTAAGACAAAAATGACGACTATAATGTATTCTGTTTTCAGTCGCTTTTAGAATGTGTAGTTCGTACTGCACACTCAACACACCCTACAGATCAGGTAGGTGATAACTAATTCAGTTGTCTGAGAAAGTCACTGCATTGCTTTCCTAAACATGCAGCCAAAAGCAGGAAAACCTTTTTGCTTAACGAACAAACTAAGGCCACAACTCAGGGCAGCTACGCTGCAGAAGAATTATTTTTAAAGGAAAGAGGTGTTTGTTCATCTTGCCTGAAAGGGTTATAGTCAAATCAAGATTATTTATTTATTGACGTACAACCAATATTATTTTATTGACGTACACTTGTAAACAATGATCTGCTTTCCTTGCATGCTTTTGGTCCAGAAACTGTAGATCTACAACCTTGTTAGGGAACAAACAAGTAGCATCCGTCGCTGTTGTGACATTTCCCTATTACTCATAGGTAGTCTTCTTGGAAGATACATTTAGAAGTTTATTGGTGACTCATACTTGGCTTTCTCTAGATTCTAGCTTTCTTCCTGTGTAATGACAATTTAATTGCAGTGTTAATATAATCCATTTTCATATTGCTCATATTTACAATAATGTAGGATGCATATGCTTTTACTTTTTATATTTAAGGACTAAAAGATATAAAAATCCCCCAAACTGCAATGCAAAGCTGTTACTAGCAGTTCTGCAGATTTAATGGACAGTATATAAGCATTTGACAGGAATGCTTATAGTGAAAATAAACCCTCATTCTTCAGCTCTACTAGTCTGAGTGGCTTTAGACAGCGTATACTAGTGTATTTCCTTAAAAATAACTGCTTTTCTTTACTGAGTGAACTAACTCTAAATACTGAATAAACAGGTCTCAAATCAAGCTAAACATTTTTGTATAAAGGCCTCTCCTTAATATTCTAATACACAAAGATATGTTTCAGAGGGAGGGGAGCTGTCACTGAAGATCCCGAGCACACTCAGAACTAACGTTTGTCAAGAAGACAGCGTGGGGATTACCAGATGGATGCAGGGTGGCAGTAACACCACTTGCAAGACAAAAGACAGCCTATAACTAACAATTACATTTTGGACTGTCTGCAAGTCCTGGCTCAGGAGTTTTTACTCTCAGATACAAAGAGATGAAATATCTTTTAGTAGCAGCACAGTTAAGGGTCTGTTGAAGATCCAAATTTTTTTAGCGCTTACACTTTGTTTATATATCACTTAAGTCTCTAGTGCTGTTCTTCCATTTTCTTGAAAACAGCAGGAAATTTTCAGCAAAGAAGCCTTCGGGTTAATTTGGAAAACTTTGTAAGATGGCCAAGTTATCTTTCAAAGCAAAAACGTATGCTTTGCATCTATCAAAGATATAAATGAGGAAAAGCATTTAAAAGTGCTTCTAAAAAAAAAAGTACGTTTAAAATAAATGGACAGATTTTCTTTTCTTGTATTTCTGCATTATGAATTTACTCATTTATCTTATAAAGCTAATTACAGGATAGGTGAAGTTGAAAGTCAGAGACAGCCAACCCACACAAATGAATAAAAAAATAGGTTTAATTTAAAAAAAAATTGGAATATTCAACACCCACAAGACAATCCGTGTCACCCATTCTCTGCCAAAATCAGAGTACGTGCAGTATGTCCTTGTTTCTCTCCACAAGTAGCTTTAATGCACAAACAAACAAACAAAGCATTTCACAACTGCATCCTCTTTCTGTACCAGAGTCTCTCACTGTTCTTTAGACAACACCAGTTGCTGATGACTAACAAGATCCTGCTGCTTATCAGCGAATTCTGAAATAATGATTCAAGAACACGTCTGTGAATCCCCCAGATAAGTCTGTGGGGAGGAACTGAGAACAGGGAGGAGGCTGTTATCAGCGTGCATTCGTCTGCATTCTTAGTGGCTGATACTCTTTGCTGAGATACATGTCCTTGTAAATGCCCAAAGGATAAGGAAACAAATACGTGCCTGTGTTCCACCTCCCCCCACCCTGGGCTCTTTAAGAAAGAGGGGGAAGTAAATATCAAAGTTGTTTGTTTTGTTTTGTTTCCCAAATTATTTAAAACTTTTCCTATGTCAAGCTCTGGGCAATTCCAATAGAAGATCACAGACTAGAGCTCTACTGGAACTTGTGCCAGTTCTTGGTATCATGCTGTTAAGTCTGGTAGGAAGGACTGCTTTGTAAGTCCCAAATCTTCTTTCCTCAGGTGAACCAGAAGCTTGAGCAAGGTGCAGTAAACTAGTTTCGTCCCCTTTTATGGATTCGCACCAATTTTAATGTTTCTTTTGGTGGTGCTGGCACTTCTGCTTTCCTTGTACTCCTCCAAATCATTTTTAAGCCACTAAAAATCTTGACCCATTTTAAGCTTGTTTTATTTATGATACTCCTTTTTCTGTTATCCAAACTACTACCACATTTACCTTCAGAAGGTAAAACTTCCCACGTTTGTTACTGGGTAAGACTTAAGGGCAAAGAGATGAAGAGATCAAATTAAAAAAAAAAAAAAAATAGAGGTTCCCACCTAAAAGTTAGGCACAGATTTAAGTTCTTGCCCCAATTTGGATACAAAGCCCAGAACTTGACAAAAAGCCTTCATAATTAGTCAAGCCTGGGGAGAAGAAGATGTCTCAGGAAAGAACATAAGCAAGAAGCTCCTTAGGAATAGCCTGCAGAAAACAGGCAAAACCTCTCTGAATACCTGCTGCTTTGCAAAGGTTGAGCACTTGAACTGCGGCAACAAAAGACCAGTGCTGCTTTTGAGACAAGGGCCTAGTGGTAAGAGGATTGTGTAGGAAGGTGTTTCTCAGTCTGAAAGAAGATGTGTGGGCACACTAAATCCAGCTGGTCCTGAATGCACTCATTCCTCACACGTGCCCAGACCATGCTCATCACTTACACTGTAGACATGGTGTTTTCAAGCTGGAGCTCTGTGTGTGCTGTGAAGAGCAGTGTCCAGTTTTTGTTTTGGGGAAATAGATTCCTGTTGACTTACCTGTCGACAAGCAAACAAGACAGGGCCTGTGGCTAATCCAAGCTTGAGATCTGCTGCTGTTGGTTTCCCCAGATGGTTGGCACAGGATGTGAAATCCAGCACGTCATCTATTAGCTGGAAAGAGATAAATGTACAGGTTAATTTAAAACCTTGTGTTTTTTTAACAAGAACTAAATACAGAATAATCCTTGTTAAGAGAAGATTTATAGAAAGGATTAAGTCAGCCCATTTTGATTTCTAAGGCAGTTTAGAAAAGTTTAGATTTTAGATTCCCTTTAGTTCAACAAAAGCACTACCTGAAAAGCTATGCCAACATTTTTTCCATACTGGTATGCAATCTCATGAACTTTGGGATCAGGGCAACCTAGAATTGAAACCTGAAAAGAGGGGGGAAAAAAAAAAAAGAAGTAAGTAGAAAGCTTTAGTTAGCACCCACTTTTAGTCTCTGACCATAGGTGTGACATAGCAAGCACAGACAGGAGGGATCTGGGAAAGGAAAAATAGCTGACTCAGTAGCACATTCTTGCTTATCTCTGTTCGTGGATACACACAAACAGCCAAGCTTATTAGAAAACAAGGCTGAGCAGCAGTGCAGTATTAACAATATATTCAAGTCTGGAAAGAGATTAGCTTTATTAAATATTTATCAGACTTAGAAATGATAATGCAAGCATGAAGAGAGAAGAAATGTGGATGCAGTGCACATGCAGGCTCGTAGTCACACACAGTCTAGTGACAGGGGAATTAAATTTATTACATATATAAATCAGCCAGGGAATAATTGGAGGTCAGACAACAGATAACTGGACATTACATGCCTCATAAAAGATCCACAAAACTGGATGTGTTGTACCCAGTACAGGAGGGACAGCTGAGATAATGAAGATTATTTTTAAGGGTGATGTTAAGCACAACTGAATTGCTCAGGAAGATGAGCTGATGAGCTTGCAGACAAAGGTATCAAGGCATAATTAGTGTCAAAGAAAAGACAGTGAATGAAGTAAGTACACCAAGCTAGACAAAAATATCACTAAACTGAGACAGCCAAATCAAACATTTTAATGGAGTTCAGATAAAGGAATCGACTACTTGAGGGACACAAAGCTAAAATACAGGACACAAACTAAGATTTGAGAAGTAGTTTCTTGCCTCAAAAGTAAGAGCACTTATGCTTCTGCATTTATGTATTGATTATACACTTCACAACATGAGGTTGGTTATATTTAAATACTCTGATTTATTTCAGCCTTCAAATAAAGCAATTGGGAACAGGGGGCAAAAAATCCTTCCTGGTTTACTGCAGACATTCCAAATCTGCTCTGACTAATGGAAATAGTGAAGATACGTTTGACTTAATGTAAGAAAGACTAAAAATACATCCTAGGGAAACCACATGACAAATACATACATATATATATAAATTTATCTTTAAGACTATGTAAGGTAGGATCATTAAAAAAACCAAAACCAAAACAACCAAAAACACAACCCCAAACTAAAAGTGAGTCCAGGAGTAGCTTTGAAGGTGAACATGAAGATGGAAATAAGAAACAGCATCATATCCTAATAAATGTGATGCAGCTTGCACAAGATTAGAGACTATTTCATGCATCAGTGCATTTTGTCACTGAGCATCACAACACTTCCCAGTCATAACTGGCATCCATGGATAATAGTTCAAACCCAGAGGAATCTGGATGCCTGAGGCATTAATAGCATCTCACATTTCACAATTTTATAGAAAAGAGGATAGTATGGCAGGAAAATAATGCTACTTGTGTCTAATCATACAAAATCATGAAGGCTATTAAAACAGGGAACTGCAAATATGAGATATTTAAATAGACTATCGAAGTAGAACATTTGGCCCTTTTGTCCTCCTTTTGATGCATGTCTCTCAAACAGCAGTATTTGCCCCAAAGAGCTATCTTCTACTGCTGTGTCATGCCTAGCAAACTTTTGGTTGCTTCTGTAACACAAATCAAATAACATCAACAAGGCAGGGGCTGCATCTACCTTGTTTCAACAAAATCGTTAGCTACCACCACCACATTTCATGTGAAGAATTAAAATATGGAGTTGGGCAGAACAGTGACAAAACCCTGGCTAATGGCAAAGGGGCAGAGTGGGCTCAAGCTGGTAGATGGGAAGAGGAAGTGCCATGTAAAGAGAAGAGCTTTCTCATTTAATCTGAAAGGTCAGAGCAGAGCTATTCCTGTAGGTAGACAGTTTTCTGGAGACACAGACATTACCTATATAAAGAATCACAGCAGTATATGTATATTTAAAAAACAGAAGTGTGAGTTACAGAATGTAACACAAGCAAAATTCATCACTGCAAAATTAATTGTTCCATCTTTGCAAGAGAAGATTTTCATAGCTCCTATTCAGGTTATGAACATGTCTGAAGACAAAAAAAAAAAAAATTAAAAATCCATGAGATGATTGCTATGCCTATCACACCTCAAGTGAGCAGCTCTCTGACCATGACCACATCAACCTGCGACATGACTGGGTCTCGTCTATCAGGGAGTTCCTTCAGGAGCCCATTTCTCACTGATTGCTATGCCTATCACACCTCAAGTGAGCAGCTCTCTGACCATGACCACATCATCAACCTGCGACATGACTGGGTCTTGTCTACCAGGGAGTTCCTTCAGGAGCCCATTTCTCACACTGCTTTTGTGGGTTATTGCCCCCGCCTGGACACTCACTGGGATGCAGGCAGGCAGCCTTGGCCCAGTCAGCCTGTCACGCAAGGGTGAGGAAGAAGCCACACTGGGATAATAGCATGCATTTACAAACACAAATCAGGGTAACAATGTCAGTGTGATAAAGCTCACCCTTTGAAAACATCCTATTGCTCCTCTGATATGACTGGTTGATTACAAATTTAATCTTGCAAGAATTCAGACTTGTCCTCCACTAAATCCTGATGAAAAATCTTTCCTAATACCAAGCAGAACATATTCTCTAGAAAGGTTCTTTGAATTCAGTAAAGCAAGTCAATCTGCTTGGCATTATTTCAAACACACTTTTTAAAATAAAAAATTGTTTCTATTATTTTATGTTACATGACAGACTATAAACCAATCCTGCCTCTTTACTGAATTTCACATCCATAAAATACTCTGTTACCAGCTCTGGGCAGACAGGTGCTGCTCTGTTATTCATCATGTGAGAATGCAGCAGCTGGAGCTGGAAGCACCTGCACATCTACACCAGTGCCCTGTAGGTCAGAGAGGAAAACCTGCTGCTGGGCAGGGATCTGCTTGTGTAAGCGGTGCAAAAGATGTTTGCTCTCCTAGATTTGCAGACACCACGGAAAGGAAGTGTCTCTGAAATCTTCCCCTTTTCCAGCCTTTCTCCTCCATGCCCATCTCCTGAGGCAGTAGAACCCTGCCTGGTCATTCGTGGCTCATCCACCACTGCTTTTCCAGACAGGAGCACTGTTCCTCTCTCCCATGGAATCACAGAATAGTTTAGATTGGAAGGGAACTCTGAAAATTATTTGGTCCAGTCATCTGCTCAAAGCAGAGCTTATGTCACAGTTAGATCAGGTTGCTCAGGGCTGTGTCCAGTTGGGTTCAGAGCACCTCCAAGGATGAAGATCCCCACACCCTGTCTGGGCAACCTGTTCCAGCATTTAACCAACCTCATGGAGACATTTTTCGTAATAGCTAATTGAGTTCTTCCATGGCACAACCTGTCCTTTCACTGTGCATCTCTCCATCCTCCCCATGCCCTTTCATTACATAGCTGGAGAGAGCAAGAGGATTCCCCCTTCTCTTCTCCAGACTACAACCAGCTCTTGGCCTGTCATTTGCTTCAGCCCCCAGCCATCATGGCTCCACAGTGTGAATGTCTGTCTTGTATGAGGGAGCCCAGCCTCAAGGCCTCACGTGGGCTGAACAGAGGCAAACAGTCACTTCCCTCGATGTGCTGTAGCAGTGGTAGCAATGCAGCCCTGGATGTGCCTGTCCTTCGCTGCTGCAGGGCACACCACCGACTTTTCCTCCAGCTTCTTCAAATTATTTTTGGTAACTACTCATGGGAAGGGGGTTATGAAGCCCTGCCTGGGAGAGGAAGATAACGACCCAGCAGAAACCCTCACATACAGCAGACAACTATCCTGGCCTGAGTCTGTGTTTTCACACATTTGACCTTTTCTCAAGTAATTAATATTTTAACATGTTTAACCAAGTACTTGTTTATGAAGAACTGTACTTTTAAAGAAGTTAAGATTATCTGCTTTAATATCTGTAATATATTTATGCTAATCTTTTTCATAGCAAACATTATGAAGAAGAAATACCCCCGAAGGAGTTACTGTATTTTAAAAAATAAATAAGGAAATTTACTGGCTGACCATAATATCTGATGCTACCGATGCTATTACCCTGCATCTGTCATCGGACCTTACTGTAGTCTGCATGCCTAGTTGGGCTGGGGGGGATCAGCTTTGCTTGGTGGGGGTCAGAGGTCTTTTTTTCCCTAGACACCAGTTCCACACTCTCGTAGGTTTTTCCGATGGAGCCCTGTGCACACACCAAGCTATGAACTAGTTAAAGTAGGAGCTCGCAGGTAGATCCAGAGCTGCAGACTATTCCTTTTCTTCAGTCCCTAAGGCAGACCTTCCATACACAGCTTTGCCTCGCTCATGGAGGCTGCATGCTTCTCTTAATTGAGAAATCAAGAATCTCTAGTGCAACTTTACACTTATCTCAAAACAAGCATGATCTATTCCCTCTTCTGAAAGTATGCTGTGCAAAATATAAAGTATGAGGGTTAGGAATTCACATGACAGCAGGATAAAAAAAAAAAAAAGACAGAATGAGAACCTGCTCAGCTTATTTTGCCATCTCCAGCTTGTCTGATGATTAATAGAAATTCCACTTCAGCTTTATTGTTTCTGAATTCTTGAACCAAAGTCACCTCTCATGTTTCTCTGAAAAATGCCTTTCAGTAACTAAGGCTTCAGTGACCCCCTGGGCCATCTGCCACCATTTCCTTTTGCAGTGTCTTACTCTGACTGCAACTTTGGTAATATTCCCCCATGCAGAACTACTGTACAAATAAACTTGAGACTTGGACGGCTCTAACATCTTGAACAGATAGTTCTGTCCATTAAAAAATGTACCACTGAACTGCTTCCAATTACACACTACCTGGGTTGCAACTGATGTTCTGAAACCAAATAATCTCTCCTTAGCTTTGTCCCTGAAAACAAGATTAGTCTCTTGATTACCCAACTTGAATTCTAGCCTGAATTTCCTTTCAAGCTAGAAATTACGATCATCCTTATAATTTTCACTACAGAAAACAGAACTCCCTCCTGATTCCATCCCTTTCCTTAGTAGCCAAAACAATCTAAACAAAAAAAAAATCCCAACACTCCACCCCAAAAAACCCACCCAAATCCCAAACAAACAAACAAAAATATCCCCTTTTCACTGCTATTAATAGAATTCTCCTAATTGAGGCAGAAAGAAACTGAGAGAAACATATGTACACAAGTCATTGCTACTGTGTGCAAAAAGTATGGTTTTGCCACAAAGACTGAATTCTCTCTCATTTTTCCTTTATAGCACAAATTTTACTGCATATAAAATTCCAGCAATTCGGCAATGGAACAACTCAGAACAACCACTAGAAGCAAAGCAGCCAAACACCCCCTTCACCAGCATCACAGCCACAATCTAGAGGGATGTGCTTAAATCCTTAACTCTTGCGAGTTATGAAAAGGACAAAACCTCAAAATAGTACCTATGTAAGGAGAATCCACCCAGTGGGAAGGTGATTTCTCCTTCTATCTGTGAAGGCTCTCTTAGGAAGACTGTCAAAGTGAATATAAAAACTTGCATGTTTTTATTGGGGTAGCAGAATAAAGTTACTAGTCCAATTGCCCACTAATATAAATTAAGACTTGAGCAATCAAGAAGACTTAATTTCTTTCCTCCCAACTAGAATGAAACATATTTTCCCTCCCCACAATATCTCTCTCATTCTACATGATCCTTCTGATTTAATCTGCAACTGCTGTCTATTGCACAAAGGTACCAGTTCTCTGAGAACAAAGGAGGATGACTAGCACGGATTTTTAGTCTAATTTTCTTAGAACTCCCTCTTGCTATAGCGTACACCAGCTATACTGCTTTTAATAATAATAATAAAAAATTATTACTGTCTTTTGGGGTAAGATTATTGCTCACCTTCTCCATTTTCTGCACTAAAACTAGACATGTTTTTTCAATAAGAACATCATCTTGAATCAGATCTTTTTGTAATGAAGTAATACAACTGAGTGACAGATAGGGTTGGATATAGCAACTGATAATTAAAAACCCCAAACAAATCAAGAAGTATATGCTTCTGTTCTTTCACAATGTAAAGTATACAAAATTAGTTGTTTCCTCCGACTTGGCACCAATGAGTGGGATTAGATATCAAACAAGACAAAATCAAATTATTGTCTCAAGTATTATCAACTGAAATTAAAAACACTATCTCAAAGTTGCTGAATTTCATAAATTAAAAGCTGCCACTGTGAACCTTATTTTGATTCAAGTAAGTATAACAATAAATCTGTGTACAAACAGAAGAGAAAATGTGAAAAACAATATGGAAGGCTACAGAGCTGAACTGTGATAAAATGCATAATCCCAAACCCATTCACATTCTGGCAGAATACCCTTCAAAGGGTTTGCTTTGGAGGGTCTCCAGAGAAAACAGCAATTACTAGTTTAGCTGTGAAGCTTACAGTGTGGTATGTTAACTTTAGAAGAGACAGACGTACATACTGCTTTACAACTGTTTGCTATAAGACTCGCAGTCTTCTTAAAAGTCTTCTCGAGGTAGTGAGCAAATCTCTCATTCTCATTTTCCTTGGAACCCAACTGGAGGAATTCACCTAAAAAGTTGCACAGATGGGAGTTTTTAATTGTGGGTTTACTGATTAGGCAAGCAAATCTGAAGATAAAAATAGAAAAAAGACCTTACCACGCACCAGATCTTCAATCACCTGAGTTAGAACAGATATGATAGTAGTGTTTCCAATTCGTGCTAAAGCTACGGAAGCAGCTGAGAGGATGAAGTCACCAGCTAGAACAGCCTAAGAATAATAATTTAAAAATGATCTTCTAAGTCTTTTAAGTGTTAGTGCAGACAATACAATTTCCTTTATTTGGCAGGTCTACTCACATCATCTCATTTCCCTGCATAAAACAGACCTATCTCATTGTAACAGAGAAAAACCAGAAAATAACCAAATATTAAAATCTGAACCAGTTTTGAATCTGTCTTCTAGTGCTGTTTATATTTTTCTATATAAACACTATCCTCCCTGAATGCAATATCTGAATAAGTGTTTGCCTGTGAAGTTTTTTTGAACATTACTTCTCTATTTGACCATTCTGTTGTGACTGTTGTGCCATGTTAGCTCTGAATTGCCATGGTAAGTTCTGATGCATCAGCAGTGTACTTCTTTCCTTGCATTTTCTGATTCAGACCTTCCTTTCAATGCTCTATGAAGAAACACCGCTCTCAAAAAATCAAAAAAATTTTCATGCTGACTGAAAACTTTTTTGTGTTTACTACTGGATCAGAGTAACACATAGTATTCTGGATGAGGCAGAAGTTTCAAGCGCTCCAACAGCGCTAAAGAGGATGGCATGGGGAACGTAAAATCAGTAAGAATCACACTAGAATCATACACCAGCTAATGCTTCCACCAATTCAGAAAAGTAACACACATTTGTCTTACCCACAATCTGTGAACACTTCTTCATACTTTTTCTGGCATATCCCAAGACTGTGCCTAGGGATAGTAATGTGACAAAAACCCTAGATATTTGTGCTCTGCTAAAACTCAAAGGTAAGTCTTCCATACACTAGCAAACTCACCTTCCTTTCTCCCCAGATTTGATTGACTGTCATTTTTCCTCTGCGAGAATTTGCATCATCAATAACATCATCATGAACTAGGCTTGCTGTGTGGATCATCTCAGCAATTATGGCCACAGAGCGCTGGCTTGCTTGCACCTCCCTAAAATAAAAAACAAGAACTGTCAAATAATTAAATCAATTATATGTGCTGCAATAAGATAAATCTCTACCAAAATCAAACAAAAAATGTTCCTCTAAAAACAGCTGTTGTAGCTTATTTGTGGTCTGAACCCCATCTTTCGAACCTGGAATTAGGAAGACAAGAGAAAGTAAGATCACGTTAGTACAGTAAGTGCAGTGGGATGTTTCCATCCTTATTAGGCCTGTTTCTGCCTTGCTGCATTGACAGTACTGCCAAACTCCAGAGTTATTGACTCTTAATCCCTCTAAATCCAGACTGCAAGAAATAGCACAGCATCAAGGATGCCTGGTTCCAAGGAGATGGAAATCTGGAAGTAAACAGAGAAAAGAATGCCAGGTAGCTTTGTAGATGAGTTTTAAGTTTTCCTTGTCTTTGTGTTGCTCTACCTATAAGACACAGCATCACAAACTCTCCAAAGCTGGCTAACTCTACTAACCAGAAAGTTGGAGAGATCAGCAGGCACAGAAACCTGTATTCTACATTTGGAAGACATAACTCATGACCTTATCCTTTATGTTATCTGATTACCTTAAAACCTCAGAGGCTCTTCAAAAGTCTGAGGAATTAACTGGAATTACACTGCAATCACTTTAGGACTGTAAACACTAACTACCTAACACTTCCCAAAATTCAGCCTTTGGGAAGATCTAACACTGATGATCCAACTCTCAGTAGTTCACACCTACTTTATTTTTCAAACTAGGTGAAAATAGGTAATGGAAGAACACAGAAGCAATTATTTAGCATAAAAGAGCCAACCTAGCTCACACAAGGGACCATCTATCCTAGTATCCAACTGCCAGTGCCTTGTTCTAGTATCTATCTTTCTCACTTTTTCTACCTGTTTTCATCATGGGTTGCATGCAGGATTCCAGAAATGGCTATCCCAGTCAGCCTTACCTTATAGCTGTAACAAACCCACAGGACATTAAAAACGTCCAAACAAATCCAACAACAGCAAAAAACCCAAACCAATAACCAAAAAAATACCCAACAAAAGAATTACTTCTGATCTATAGATACCTTACTTCTGATATACAGATGACAGAGAAATCATACTATTTTCCAGCAGAACAGAAAAAGAATTGAGACAGAAGAATACAGAAGTTTTCTTCAGCTCAGCTGAAGAAAATTTAAAATCTTCTTGCGTTGCTTCTGTCTATTAAAATCTAATGATTAATCATAAAATGAAAGAACAACTTGCCGTCTGCTGACATAACACTGTGTTCTAACACCTACCCCTCTGCAGAACTCTGCATTGCTGTCAGTGGGAGTTCTACATCCTGAACAATAGCAGGATGTGTGGCTCAGACTGTGAAAATGTGGCTTTTAACCAACAGAAAATTAGAGCTGGAAACCTTCATGTTTGTTCGAAGGTAAGTTTTACTGTGGACTAGTAATTTAGTCAAAGGCTAGTTCAGTGTAAGTAGTTTTCCAAAATAAACTACTGTTACTAAGTAGGAGAACTTACCTTCAAAAAACTGTAAAGGTCTCCAGCCTGTTTCACGCACTGGTCTCCTTTTGGGGACTCCCTTTTTCATTAATTATGTCAGCAGACTGGACTTCCTGCTGGGAAGTAGCAGTAAATGGCAACACTCACTGACACACCAAAATCTTCTAGTAGTGTGAAGACAGCACAAGGACAGACATTTCAAAAGCGGGTTTTGAAAAGTTCTGCATTATAGTGCATTTCATCTCTGACAATGACTAAAAATGGCACAGGAATGCTCACAGTTCATGTGTCTGGTTCCCAGGATGTTGTATCAAACGGGATAATTTCACCTGCAGGGTTTTTTTAAACTATTTCTGCAAGGTCTCAAGCAAGGTTCTTCCCACAGCTGGCAAAAAATTTTCTAATAGTTTCCTACAAAGTTGTGCGAGTAATTCTGAAGCAGGGCATGCCTATTTTAGGTAAAACACACAAGAAACAGGATCCTTCTCATTCCCTGTCATTTTGCATTCTGCTTTGCCTGCAAAACAAAAGCAAAAATGTAGCAGTAACTCAAGTCAATAGATAACTGGGTCCCCACAAGTCCGGTAAGTGGAAAGATGCCATTTTTGGGTCATTCTCAAAGTAAAGGCACCCCAAGATGATATATATTTACATAAAATTGTTTATACAACTAAGTTTATCTCTCTACACATGCACTATATTAATTTTTAAGTCCTTGATAGTGTTCTGTTTTTCAGTAGGACCCCCTGCTTGATTCTGTGATAAACTTTTATAAACCTACAGTAACCTGAGGTCTTTTCCATTGCAGAACTTGTTTCACATACACTGAACATGACCAAGGCTGATCTTACAGGTTAAAAAAGAAACCCAAACACAACTCTCCCTCCAAATATCCCTCAAAAGAAAAAAAAAAAAAGAAAAAAAAAAAGAAAGAAAAAAGAAAAAAAAAAGAAAAAAGAAAAAGAAGCTGAGGGGCAGGGAGGGAACTCAAAACAGTATTTACACTCTGCAACTCTTGCAATGTGTTTGACAGTAAGCAAATATTGCCAGTTTAAAGACAGGAAATGTGTGAAAGACCTTGCAAAATTTCTGTGTTATGACCACACTTCTCAAAGTAGGTTTTTACTGTTAAGTCCCTGTGTCTGAAAGAAACGAACATTTCAGAAGCACAGTCTGTGACATGGAAGGGCAACGCAAACGAGGGGAAGCATAGAGAACAGATGTGTTAACACAGGGGCAAATTACAGAACAGCTGAAAACCAGCATACAGTACAGGCACCTGACAACCATGGTCTGGAGCAGTGAAATAAAAGAGGACTAAGGCTGCTGGCAGGTCCTCATCTGTTTAGGAAATATTATTCTAGTGAGTTTAGCCAGGTCATTATATTTAAGTATTTCTCACAGTATTCTGATGGATTTATTTCCCTTTTCCCCCCCTCAATTTTTTGTGCTCACTATTTTCTCTATTGAGATGTCTCTGTACTTCTTTAGCCTTCTCTTGCTTGTTTGTCTCTCTCATTTTGGTTACAGAAATAGAAATAAAAACTCCTATTTGAAAACACCTCTGGAGAATACACCCTAAACAGAAACATTAGGTCCAGGCAGGCTAAGTGATAATTCTGTGAAATTCTGCACACAGGTATGTGAAGAAATGCCAGAGGATGTGTGAAATTGAGGGTTTGCATAACCCAAGCTTAAACTCTTAACAATTCTCACTCTTGCACAAAGCTAAGTCACTATCATTAAGCAAAAAGCCATTGTCCAAGGGACCTAAGGACTCAGGGTTGGACTTCTGACACTTGAATCTTCAAAGAGGAAAAAAGAACATACCAGCATAGATAAATCTGAATGCTTCAGACACCTTATCTTTTTGATAAGGTTCAGATTCTTTATTGTCATTCACCTTATTATGACTACAATTAAGTGACCTCACTCTAGAAAGACAGTTAACCTGCTGAGGGCATTCTAAATACCTAGCCTTCCTCAAATCTAAACATAAACGATCATGTCACCTAACCTGTAAGAATAGCTATGGTGTTCCCCTCCACTGACTTGAGAAGTCTTCAGCTATTGTAGTGGGGCTCTGTGAAGACAAAGAGGTCTCTGTGAACTGCCTCCTAAGATCAGGACCTATAACCTTACAAAGTTGGGTTGTGCTATTTTAACAGTCAAACAAGGAAGAGTATTACCTCTTCTACTAGTACTGCAGAAAAGAAAAAGGAAAAAAACAACACAAGTGAAAGAACAAACAAAAAGAACGCTGGGTTGGGCAAGTTATGTGGCAGTTGAGAATGGCAGCAAGATGAAGCAGAAACTCAACATCAGTAATACAAACCCCAGAGGCAGAGTGAAAAAAAAATGCTAGGGATGAACAGCACAGTATATTGGCTCACCTCACAAGTCTACAGGTGTTGTGGCCAGTATCTTTGATTACATGTGTGGTAACCAAAGCTTCAACAAAGACAGACAAGTCTGGGAGAAGAATCAATATATACTGAGGAAAAGAACGATAAATGCTTTAAGGGAAATGACAAGCTGAAAGAGGGAAAACTTCTTAAAAAAAAAAAAGTCAGGAAAAGCAGAATGGAAAGCAAGTTTGGTTTTTTTTTCCCCCTCAGGTCTATAACAGAGTAACAGAGTTACATAGACACAGTGTTTCTTTCTCTACATATACAATTTTCCTTATAAACAGTAAAAAGTTGGAAGAACATTTGTCACCTGGAAGCAACTGCTGCTTTAAGAAGCAACAATAATGAAACCAGTATTAGTGTGAACTGGAAGTAAATGTATATATAAAGCAGGTGTAACACAGCCTGCTTCAAGAAGCTTAAAAGCAAAAGATAAGAAAATTCCCATAAAACTTAATCAACTCACAGTAACTGGGTAGCCACAGTATATTATACCAAAGTATATTATTTTGGCATGGCCTGCCCAACCCTCAAAAGTCACTGGTCCTCATGCATGAACCAAAAAGCAGTACACTGAAGACTTGTAGAAACATACGTGAATTTTAATTACAATCACAGGCTTAGAGGAAAGTGGCATGAGGCAAAGAAGTGGAAGGTAAATACCCCGAGATTTCATTCTCTTCCTTTGCTGAAACGTTTCTGTTCTCCCTGCTCAGAATTTCATTCTAAAAATAACATGACAGAGATAGTGACTCAGTCTGTCCTTATACAAGGAACATTCAGATTAACGAGGAAGATTTTAAACATCAAACATAGTTTGGAGGTGCTGACAAAAACTGTAACAGATCTACAAAAGCTGCCAAGTGACACGAGCATCTATAAATCAGAGCAATTATGCTGAGGGTTGGCTACTGCAAAGCAAACACTTGCCTCAGGCATGCATATGTGGCACCTGAACTCGCAGTTCACAATTTCTCACTGGCACAGGTCTCAAAACCGGTCCTGGTGGTTCTAAGACAGTGCAATGCATGGACAAGAATCTATCCATAAGCATACACATACATCAAAATACAGCAAATATGCTTTGAGCATACAAAGGCAAATTCACTTCTTTCTACAGCCACTACTTGTCTTTCACTCGCTGCTCACCTCCTGCACTGTATGACATCCATTCCAGCCTTCTTGGTATTGCATGTACACCACATAATTTTGTTCATAAGCTTCTCATGCTACACACTAGAATGAGATAAAGCTATTTTTCCCATTACTCTGACTAGAAGAACGCTCCAAAAACTCAATGCCCCAGTTAAAAGTCTCCTAAGTTTTCACCCTTGTAGCAACATCGTTCTTTGTCTTAAATAGCTCTTTCATCCCTGTTCCTGAGAAATTTGTAGAACGCAAGTCCTCTGTTCTCCCTGATTTTCTTTGCAGTCCATCCCTGAAGCTAACTGGGCTTACCTTTTTTTTTGAACACAAAGATCAGATATGCTGATGATTTCACAAAGTGCTATGCAAGAGTATCAGCACTCCCATAGCTGACCTGGATACACTGTGGTTGATGCATGCTAGGATTACTTTAAGGTTTTTCAGAGAAGGTGGCTGCAAATCACATTGGGGTTACCCTCTAATGGGACACTCATGAGCCTCCACGTTCAAGAAGAATTTTTTGTTTTAGTGTGCTTCCTTTCATTCCACCGTGGATGGCCAGTCATCAGCAATGATTCTGTCATCAAAAAGTGCCATCATCATGCTCCTGTTTGTCATGTAAAGATCCCTCATGAAAATTATTAAGCCACCAGTGCTGTGACAAAGGACATCCTTGAGGAGTTTCACAGCCAATACTGTTCCTTTTGCTACCTCTAGGACAAAGACAAGGAGTAGTACTAAATGGAATCAGGCTGGAGTGAAGTTCATTAATCCTAGACAATGTTTTCCTAAAACACAAGGAATTGGCACAGACAGGACAGGACAGTGCCAACCGCCTTCTCCTTCTAAATTATAATCACATAGGAGGAGGTATGCTGGGAGAGGTGCCATATCAAGCAGCAAAATATATGTCATGCTCTGAGGTAGAAATCAAGTCCAACAAGGCACTAACCTACCGCTAAGGAAAAAATGATGCAAGAGCCGAGAGAAATCCCTTAAGACTGATAAATTAGTCCAGAAACACTTCTGGCAAGGGATCAAAGATTTCATATTTGAAATTCTATATGAGGGAAAACTGGAAGCTCAGCTGTAAGGCAAAGAATGCTCCAGCCAACATCTTTCCTCAAAATGCAAACATAAAAACTGATGGGAAGGTGTGGAGAGAAGCGTTTGCAATCAGCCAGAGCAAGGAGTGATAGACAGCACAGGGTGAGCACGATGTTTTGCTCAGTTAAAACTGCTTTCAAAGTACAAGTAACTTGAAGAACAAGAGGATTACACCTGCTCTAAGCTTAGAATCTTACATTAAAGTGTAGAAACTTGCTCCTAGAGGTGTGTGGGGGGAAAATCTCTGACTGTTTTGAATGCCTCACAGAATTGAATATAATCATATCACCCGCTTAATGGCTTTTCTGCATAACTACAAAAAAAGTCTCTTCTTGCAGCAAAGTTCTTACCTGTGACAAGAGTTGAATAGCTACAGGAGTGGTTACAAATAAAAAATACTTTTAATTAAGTTAATATAGTTTCAAGGAGTATAACAGGTTCTAATAAAGCATTTATGTAAGAAGCTAAAATTGACTGAAAGCCTTACAAATATCAGAATGTGGCAACATTTAGGTTCCTGCTACAGCAGGGGGATTGGACTGGATGGTCTTTTGAGGTCCCTTTCAATCCCTAACATTCTGTGATTCTGTGAACATTATTTATCCATCACCAACTGCAACTGCAGTATAGTCTACAATTTCACACATGGAAGCATGTAATAAACCCAGTAGTTCCTTTTGCACTGCTAACTACAAAAATACAGCTTCATGATGGAACTTAAATTCAGGTTTTACTGAGGAATTTTCATAAAGTTACTATATTTTTTGGGAACACAAGAACAATATATGTCCATACATCTAAAAGTGGACAACTCACCTGGAATTATTATGGTGAATGTTACAAGCCCTTGCCATTAGCACCACAATCATTGGTCGAAAGGCCTTTCCTTTCCCATCAAAGTAATAATCACACATTTCCTTAAGTTCCGCTGTAGATACAAGCAATTCCTATGAAAAGGAAAAAAACATACCAGCATAAAAGTCACAAAGCAAATCTGTTTAGTGTAAGCAAAACAGTATGCAGGCATAAGTTTATTGCCTGTATTCATTTCATCCAATGTAAGCTGAGGTTGTTTTTAAAATTACTACAAGTAATCTGAAGCACAGGTGATGTATTCCAGCAGTGTAAATCAGGAGAAAAAACAAATTTTAAAAATTGCATTCTGGTTCTATAAGATATGTAGAAATGCTCTCTGCCTCCAGTCTAAGTTTCTGACAGCTGTTCATAAACATAAAAGAAAACTCACTAACTATCTTCCAAGGCAATGGTTGCTATTAAAACCAGAATCATCACAACATCACAGAATACTCACCAAAATCCCTTACCTTTTTAATATCTTCATAGAGATTCTTCAAGTCTTTTCTACCAAGTTGAAAAGGGTCTTGGTATTTTTCATCACTAACTGTCTTACTGCAGCTGCACAAGTGGGATGTACTTGTATGATGAAACCTGGTGACAGTGTTTTTCAAGAGTAGTGTTGTTTAAAGCAAACTTTCCCCAATTCCCCAAACAGAAACATTTCAAAGCATTTCCTCCTCCTCCTCCTCCCCTCCCTCACACAAAATTTAACTAAATGGCTAAAAAATAAAGGCATCAATACACTCTTTTCAGCCAGCTAATAAGGCACAAGGACAGCACAGCTACGTATTCATGATCATAAGACTTTAGGAGCTGGCAAAGTGCAGCATTCGGCAAACAATACCCACCCCTCTCTAACAGATTACAGAAGTCAGAATTCTGAGACACGTAAAACTACACTGCTCCCAACGTGTTCCGTTTGAATGCGCTGTTGATAGTACAGGGTACGTTTGGAGATAAAGCCTTCATCTTCCAGTAAACAATTATTCTGTTACTTTCTTACCTCTCCTGAATACTCCTGGAAAAATATTCCTGACTTGGATTTGAAAATTCTCCTTTGCACACCCAGCTACATTACAAATTATAAATTAAATCAATATATCCAGGTAGCATGAAGATGCTACGAAAGTTTATCAGTAAAGGGTGAAGGCTCCACCTGGATGCATTAATTAATTATTTTTTTTTATGTCCCCTGAACTTGAAGTTTATGTCTCTTATTATATTTCCTTTTTCAAAATGAACCACATGGGTTTTCTTGGGGCATTCTTGCTTTGCCTGTTGCTCTCCAGGATGGAGGACTTAGTTTCAGACTCAGCACCACAGCAGCAGTCTACACAGAATTATCCAACTACACAATAGAGCGAATAAACGTATTTTCAAAGTTTATGGCTCAAAGGTGTAACTACCCAGTTCACCTAATAACTATGTCTTTACCCATTACACAACAACACGAACTTCCAACTTACCGCCAAAATATACTACATATTTTTGCAAATGACAAAGTTGAACTTCTCTGGGTAAAGTGACACATCTGCACAAAGAAAAATCAAGGTTAATTTAATAGAACTTTAAACTGACAGAAAACATTTGACTACAAAAGTCAAGTGTCTGTTCACCAGCACTGCTCTGTTTCTCCATTTTAACAACTGAGCAAAAAAGGGATTCTCATAATCTCCTCCATATCACGTGAGACATAACTGCCAGTATGTACCTTAGCCTCTGACTTCTGCTCGGAGTGTTGGACTTTCTCCCATTGCAGGACCAGCCCAGAAGGCATATCAGTTAACTTCCCAGAACTGCTCTAATGAAACCTTACTTCTGCACTCATGGAAAGTGCAATTTTCAAACATTCCCTGTCTTGCAGATAAACCAGGACTGCAGCAGTCAAGGCACAGAGAAAAGGACAAGAGCTGTTTCCCTAAACTACTATGCTAAGAGAAGATGTCATGTTTTCCCCTGAAGCAATTTTAATTCATCTCGCTTCTTAGGATAATTTAGACATCTTCCCTGCTAGATGTCAAGAACCTAACCTCCAAACCCAGCAATCTCTCCAACGATCTCTCCCTGCAGAAGGAGCCCAGGAGCCTGGGGGAAGGTGTGGTCCCAGGAACACGATTCCAGCAGAGATAGGTTGAGAAAGGAAATGCACCTTTTGCTCCACTCCTGGCATCGCTGCCAAGAACTACCCAACCCTGTCCTGAAGTGCACGCTGACTCAGGGGCCCAGCCGCGTTGAGTCAGCCCGAAATCACTGCAATCCCTGTGTTCACCAAACTGCCGCTCCAAAAGCTCACACACAAATGCTCCAGGAGACCTAGGACTGGACAAGAGTTCCCCCAACTTGCTCCTCATGGCTCAGTGTCTCCTCATACAAGGCTTGAAGTCTCTCTCTCCTTGGACACAGGGAGAGAAACAAGAGCAGGGAAACAGCTTCAGGGGACCCTTCCATCCTCCCTGTGCACAGGACAAAAAAAAAAAAAGCCAGGCAAGAACGCAAGGGAAGGGGAGGAAGGAGGAACCCAACCTGATCATGGATTTGCACCCCACTCCTGTCTGACTTCACTGCCCAGCCCTATGACCAGGACCTTCACAATTTCGCCCTCCCGTATCTGTCACTGTTTCCTAGTGTTACAAGTAGCTGATCTCTTCCATTCTTCCTTCGCTGAGGGCACACCACAGCCAGAACACTTTCCTGCAGGTGAGAACAGCAGCTTGACCTTGTGAGGAAGCTGTAAACGAAGGCAGCGAGCGAACTGCCCCCATTACAGCTCGCACCGGTAACTTACGCACAAATCTCACACTGACGGGAACCGCTTTTCTGCTCCCGCCTGGGGGGGACCCTGAGAGGTTCCTCCCCACAACAATAACCGATCCTGCCCTGAAAACCCTGGAGCCAGTATCTAACCTTGCACCGAGAGCGCTCCTTCCCCTGCAAGGCCCCGGCCCGGGCAGGGA